CCAGCCTTGCCGTATTTCTTATAGCAGTCGTTTTCAAGTTTAGAAGCAGATGTCACAAAGTCAATCCTGCAAAAGGCCAGCAAACGAATTGGTACCCTGGTCAATCAAAGTACAGAACTATGGTATATTATAATTTGAGCCTCATAGCCTATCGGAAATAAGGGGCGAGCTATCATACTTCAAGTTGTTGAAACGATGTTCGTTCTGCTTCAGTGCATTCAGTAATCTTTGCTTGCCCGACTCCCGTAGTGTTTCAGATATGGCTTTTTTGTCAACCTTATTGACCTATCAACAGGAAGAAAAACATTAGCAGCAATGAAAACACTCATTTCATTAAAATCACGAAAATTGTTTAACAGCTGGAAGACTTGAACCCCTGTATAAATTGACAATATTAATTCACTTTCTATAATTTAACACTGAGCATCTAACAACTACAATTAATAGAAGACATTACACAAGATGAAGATATGTCAATCTTCAGTGACACAATAAGACATGGTTATAAATAAAATAAAAGAACGAAAAAAAGATCTGAATCAAATACTATTAGGTAAATAATTTCGGAACATTTTATAGCAAGGATTCTAGTCGATGATGGTAAATAGAAGTAAAATACAAGAAGAATAAACATCAAGGAAGGACTTCAAGCAGTCATTATTTACACATATGGCAGGGTTTCAGATCACAATAAGTAGAACTAGAACTTGGGAAAGGAGGTTACAAAATATAGGGTTCTTTTTGTCCTGAGATTCAACACAGCTTATTTTTAAGACTTCAAATGAGAAGTACAAATCCATAAACCATGAATAAGCATGACCGCTTAGAGAATACCTGTACTGACTATTGTGCTCTACACAACACCATTTTAACTGCCAATAGCCCTAAAATATTGATTTTTGTCAATTCTTCATGCTAAAACTCCATGTTCTCATATATTTTATTTCTTCTTTCTGATTGTATTAAAAATCATGACAGACTTTACCCCTGGCAATTAACTCTGTTATAAAAACTAGAATAAGATGAGAAAATTAACACAGTTCACCTGCTTGTCTGAACTTTTAATCTGGTAATATTTCTCTTCTGCACACTGCAACAATTCAATCCTGTCATTTAGTCTAGATTCTGATGATTTACCTGAATGTGCTAAGCTCTTTGCAACTTCAACAGCATCTGAAATCAATTTACTAATAGGTGAATAAAATGAATATTCAGGAGAAATCCAGAACTAGCATTCCAAACCAAACCATATTGCAGACTAGCAAATGAATGTCAGATCCAAGGGTTTAGCAAAAATAATCAGTGCCTGTTCAAAATATACCATCAGAATCAGATATATCTTCCTCACTTCCACTAGCTTCATCATCACGATTCCAGAATTCCGAGAATTGTTCTTCACCATTGACATCTGAAGCACTGCAAAGGAAAAACGTAATTGAATTGTCAAAAATAGAATATCAAATCAAAGCGATAAGCTGAATGAAGCCCATTTAGTAAAGGGTCTAAATCCTAAAACTACTCCAGCAAAATTTGAACCAATAACTGTCTAGCAAATGCTATTAACTAAGGAAAAGGGCTAGCAACTTTTTATGATTGTCACTAGAGTGGTCCTACCCAAGCCAGTTAATGGATAGCTAACATCGAACATCCGACATAGTGGCTAAACTAATACAAGCCAAGGTCAGAATACTCCAAAAAATTTCATTTCCTTTTCTCTTTCTCTTCCCTTAGAAAAGGCGGATCAGAAGATGCATTGTAACTGATACATTATTTTTCTCCATCCTTTCATCTTTGTTTAAATGAATCACATCAAAAGAACCAATTAAATTTTCTATATATGACCTGAAATACAAGCAAAAAATATTTGATTCCAATTCTGAAATCTTGTGCCATCTTGATCATGATAATTGAAGCACATTGGTCAACAAATCAGGGTAGTGATGGTATGGTAATAATTTATTTATTTATTATTATTTTTTTGATAACCGTTGATGTCCGGGCCAGTTTGCGTGCACCTCGACTAATCCCACTGGGCCCTGAAATTTACTGTCGAGTACTCACCTCAGTAGCTCTGAGAGAACTCGAATTGGTGACCACTGGGAAAATAATTTATTTTTCCATGGGTAAACACTTTAATGAAAGCAACAATCAGAATTTCAATCTTTGATGGTTTGACCAATTAGAGAGACAGTATACGCAATGCCATTTACTAAACAAGCCCGGAAGCAAATTTGTGATTGTCAAATAATTTGATATCTTGTTTGATGATAAAAGTGAAATAAAAGGCACTCTTTCTCCAAGAAGTATCACTAAGCGTCGCCAAGACGGCGCACAAACGAGATGCGCGACTAAAACACTAAGTCAAGTGGCTTGGCACTTTATTTAGCCGTCAACGATTGCCTTATTTAGTGGTCAACGGGTTGACTGCTAATGCGTATTATACATGCATTATCTTTTTTTTATTATTTTTTTTTACAATTCTTTTAAGTTAAAACTTAAAGGTTGATTTACATTTGAAATTTATCTTTTTGTTGGAAACTTTTGAAAAAATGTATAAAGTTTCTATAAATCTATTTTAAATGTTTGATATGAATTATTTTTAATTATTAAATGATTTTTTGATTAATTAAATTAAAATAAGAAAATGCTTTTTTACGTTTTTTTACGCATAAAAGGCACTCTTTCATCCACAACTTTTGGGCCACATAAACTTATTTAACAAAATTTCATCCTATCTGGAAAACCTTGTTCGAATCATCTAGAATCTACATTTTTCCCACCATTAAAATAGAGCAAAACAAGAAAAAGGATTTCTTATCAACATCTAAATATCATCATAAAATCATATTAATTATCTAACTTTGATACAACGTGCTAATGATTATTCCAGGAATCTTCTAATGAAAATTAAGTATATTCTCTAACCTCATTGGTAACCTACTTGTTTAAAGTTATATGTTGCAACAATTTCGTGCTTGTAGGGTTTAATTATGAGTTGCTGAAATTATAATGTGATAGACATGATAAGTGGATGAGTGGATAGTTGTTGTGGATCCTACGAAATGTTGTAGTTAAAATTAAACTTTGACTTTGACCTTTAAATTATAAGCAAATTATAATGAAAGGCAAACAAGCTCTCATTTCCAGAAAAATTTTCCATTTTATAGATGGATAAGAAAGTCAAAGTATGTACAGCCAGAAAACATTAGTCAACCCATATCACAAGAAAATAGAAAATGAAGTATATTAAGTAAAATTGCAGAAAATAGATGAATAAAAAATGAATAGTCAAATAAAGCAACCCAATAACTTAAATTTGGGTAAACCATCTGCTCGTAAACATTGAATTTACGGCAACTAAAATGCTTGGGGCAAACTTCCTAATCACTAAGCTTAACTGTACAACAAAAGCAACGAGCCAATAATGCAGTAAGCTAGATCCCAATTTAAAAGGAATGGGTACGTATACAGAACAAAATATGGAATAAGCTACCTGCTAATTGATATCCAAGAGGATCCATATCTGGGTCGACTAGCGCAAGCAGTTGTGAGGTCCTCCAAATGCTTGGAAACTAATTTAGGATGTTTGCATGCATCACAAGATTTCGCACATAATAACGAAGTTACCTGCTTTTAGAGAAAGACATCTATATGATGTTATCTGACATTCTCATATAGCGTCTTTATGTATAACAGGACCATTCATCCTTCAAGAATAAAATACCTGCTCCCCAAAACTCTCAAGAATCTTTTTCCTACGACAACCAGATTCCTCACAGTATTCAACCATCTAGATGCATTATATGTCTCAGATCAAAATGGAATCAACGGAAAATGGAGAAAAGGCCCATCATTATGAAAGCAAGAAATTTACCTGGTGGAAATCAGCAAGGGACTTCTTGGAGGGCCCCTCTTGCAAGCTTGAGGACTGCACCTTCTTGCTCTCAGTTTTACCCAAAATAAATTCCTGCAAATGTGTGTGAAAATTTTGGAGTATAAATATGGTGAAAATTTTGAACATCAAAGGAGATGGTAACATGGTGGCAAAGATGCAACTAACCATTCTTCTACGATCATCCACTCCATAATACAGTAGACTTTGGGAGGGCAGTTGATCACGACCAGCTCTACCAGACTCTTGATAGAAGGATTCCATTGACTTGGGAATATTAAAATGGCAAACAACTCTGACATCCTTCCTGTCTATGCCCTATAAATATAGTGCAAAAGATTCGGTTAAAATAGTACTGCTTGAAAAATCTCACAGTTGACGTTTCACAAAAAATTGTATTAAACATTCCTCGAATTTGATAGAAATAGTAGCATACCATCCTGCAGTATAACAACCAGCTCAATCACTGTGTGTGTACCAAAGTATCTCCAGCAGCAACTCAGAAACCAAATAGACAACAACGATAATTATCTCAGAATAATTATGATCAAATGATAATCCATAGAGAGCTTAACAGCTGGAAATCGCATGACATTTCAGACAATTTGAAATTATTGCAAATTGTGAAGAATTTGTTCTGAGGGAATCAGAAACTAGTTACACATACGTCTAACTGCATTAAAGAACAAAAAACAAGAGATTGGAAAAAATAAAACCTTGAGCATGCAACTATCAAATGGCAAGTTGGCAACCACAGAGTATATGAGGCGTTCAAAGATTTATTTTGTATTGGTTAGCAAGCAGCTAGCAAGAATACGTTTTCAGATACCACTACAGAATTACAACCCTTTTTGCCCAATGGAATGAACTTTATGAAGACACGTACTTTGTAATATTAATTTCAGAAGAAAAAAATGCCATTTTTTAGTCATGTTTGGTATAATTTGTTTCATGATGAAGTGAATTTATGCAATATCCCAGCTCAAACATGATCAATGTAATGACTTATATTTGAACGCATGGTAGCACTGCAGAAGACTTGAGCCAGAAATCTAAGACTCTACTAATAATGTCAAAGCATTGTAATTCATTGGCTTAAGATACTCATCTAAGAATCACAACTGTCAACATCTATCTCGAATATGTACTTCTCCTTCTCCCTGATAACAGGATTCAAGAAAAAGAAAAAGTAGACATAAGACAAAATAAAATGGTTGCGTCAATATATTATGGTCTGACTGAGATCCAACATGCTGAATTCCACTTATTTATCTCACACAAAAGGTCAATCGCAAATTGTGCAATCTTCAGCTGTTACTAATAGTCTAGCAACAAGGAAAACAACATTAAACATTGAAAGTTTCAATTTAACCAAATATTTAGACACAACGTACAGAATTATACAATTAAATGCAACAACACACTTTTTAATTGTTTCTATATGATTATATCAAACAATCCAATTAATCATATATTTGAATACCACAGTTTGCAAATAGAAAGCAGTAAATAACGCCTATATGATCACGGAGAAAACCCTTCGCAAATGATCAAAAATTCTGAACACTTTGCTAGTCGACAATCCACTATAAACGAAACAATTTGCAGTATGATCCAGACCCGACTAACCCTTAGTCCCCTCTGACCTTATTTTCCTCTAGTCACCCTTGATTCTACTGGACTGCATGCTCCTCCTACCAGATCCCAACTCGTGATATATCTCCTTGACCCTCATGGACTGCGTGCTCCTCACACCAGCTCCCGACCCTTGATGTATTATCTTAGCCTTCCCAAATTGCGTGTTTTTAAACCAGTTCCCGATCGCTGTTATCGTTTATTTCCGGTGGATTAGGCGGTTTGGCGTTTGATCAAAAGATCTTTATGTTTTGATCTTGTGGGCTGATGCAAGAGATATTGAAATATATTTTTGGCTTTCAAAACAAACTCTTGATTTACAACATGGTTCTACTAATTTGATCAATATATAGGTTGAATAATAAACAAATAATATTATGGTTGAATCAAGGAATCAATGAAAGGATGTTTGGATTTTCAAAGAAAGATCTCTATAATCAAAATATTGATCAACCACTGTTTTGGACATTTCATAGGGTGTATATTTATAATGGGTAGTGTTTGAAATCAAAAAGAACCCAAAATCAGCTTGAAAATCGAAATTTACTCTTCCTCGGATAACCACGCTGCTCGAGTGCATGCCGCTCGAGCACAGGCCAGCTCCAGCTGAACAGTTGTCATTATTTCATCATAACTTCCCCTTTCGATGTCCAATGGAGGTGATTCAAAGTGCGTTGGAAAACTAACTCAAAAGTCTACAATTCTTCTAGAATATACTTGTCCAAATTCGAATATTTTCTATGTGAAAAATGAGTTGCAAGTTGTGGCTGATAATTTAGAGCATGATTTGTGCAACGCTTTTATATGTGATCTTCTTGGACATCTTGGACTCCTTATGCGACTCTTTGATACTCTTTAGACTTCTAATTGCATTCCCTTTATCATATGCATTCTTCTTGGACATCTTGGACTCCTTCAAGACTTGTACTACCAATCTCAACCCTTTTGACTTTAATTAAGACTCAATAACTCTCATTTTGACTTTGATTACAACTCGATAAATTCTTAATATAATTCAACTAGAACATGATTTTGACTAAAAAAATTGTCAATTACAAATTTGAAAATTGTTAATTTTGCTAATTACAAAATTGGACCTAAATCAAATATTAAAAAAAATCAACTTAATGCAAGCAAGAACTAAATCAGAGATCAGTATGATTTAATAATATTACAATGATGGTGCAAAAAATGACCCACCAGCTCAAATAACACTAAAGAGTTGCAGCACATTACATTGGGAATCCTAGAGTAATGTAAAAATTTTGGGGGGATGCGGGTGGAGAGAAAAAATACCCAAAAGCCACTGTCGCCACAACTACTTGTATTTTGGAGGAGATCCAATCATCCAAAACAGAGCTCCGCAATTTACTATTCAATCCAGCATGATATGCTAGTAGTGGCGGAAAAAGAATTAACTTTGGAAAGCCTAACAAAAGTGACATTTAGTAGTTGCAAGATACAGTTGATTGTTACCAGAGCAAGAAATTCCATTCTTTGATAAATGAGCAGCCAAATCATCGGACGTCTTGCGCTCAAGGCAGTAAACAATTGCACAAATATTTCCAAAGGACTTGAGAGAATTACATAAATCAGCTTGGGGATTGTCCAACAAATCTTTGTAACGAACTGCAAGATGAGGTGTTTAAATAGAAAGGTATTAGATTTAGTTCACCATAGCTCTGCCTAAATGCATAAAAACTGTTTAACCAACTAAAGTGGGACATTCAGATATGAACCGTATTTAATCGCATATTAATCAATTTGCAGAGCCTGTTCTACCTTTTGTTCTCCTTTTATACTCAATTTTCTTATTTTTCTCAAGGTGTCCCCATGGGGAGGGAATAGTTTGTGAATTAAGATCTTATACTTCCCCAAAACCCTTAACACATGAGGTTCTATATTGTCAAAAGTATAGCCAGCAATCGTGCAATAGCAATGAAAAAAAAAGGACGTGCATACTCGTTAAAATAACTCACATAATGCAACAAAAGCAGAAGAGCAACTCTTCTGCTGCTCAAAAAGTCCCATAACAAAGGACTGAAGGAAAGAAAATAAATCAAGATAAACAGACCTCACCTTCATAATAAATATTAGGGCGATTAAACGATGATTTCAGGACGAGAGGGTTTTCCAAACACAAGGACTCTATCACATCCTGCTGCACTCTGCAGAAACACAAAATCTAGAGTGTAAATGCTTTTCTGTTTCCCAGAAAGAAAAATTCTCAGTAGGACTGAAATTTTATGCACAAAGAAGTTCCAGATAAATTTAAACAATCCTTTTGCCAATGATATTATAACAACATGGATACACAAAAAGCTTTGAAATCTGAGTAGAAGATAGAACTGATGTTTAGGCTGGAGTAAGAGGTTGCAGAAGATAGTAGAATCTACATTAATAAGAAAAAGTCATCTGGACTCCATTATTTCCAAAATACATTTTTCCAGAACTCACTTTCAACCACACATCTTTCATAAAATAATATTACACGTAAACCCAAAACTTTTTCTTATCTTTCAACCACACATTTTCCAAAAAATCACTATTCCAAAATAAATTTTCTCCGAAAATCACAATAAAATGGAGCCCAAACAGGGGCATATTTTCTATGGAGAAAATTGTTGAAGAACTGATGTTTAGGATGGACAGTAACAGGTTGCAGAAGATAGTAGAATCTACATTAATAAGAAAAAGTGTTTAGAAACTTTTGCCAGAATGTGGATGGAGAGAGATATTTTCTATGGAGAAAATTGTTGAACACTCACTTAGGAGCAGCTGTAGCAGTCAACGCCAAAACTGGTATGTTGGGCAGACAATTCCTCAAAGAAGAAAGCTTGCGATAGCTAGGCCTGAATATAAGAACAATCGATAAATACATAAATATCTCAAACAAATGGCGGATATGTTAAACTAAATAAAAGTCAAAATCACAACAAGATAAAATGAAGGATAGCAAAAGAAAGTGAGATACTTTCAGCGTATCATGATGATTGGAAAAAAAGTTCCCTCCCTCTAGTTTAGGGGGAAGCCCAACCCGTGAGGATAAGCTTGAAGGCATCCAATAATATAAAGGAGATCAAAAGAGAGCCAACATAAAATTGATGCCTAGGAAGATCTATAACAAGCGTAAAACTATCTGCACTCTCACGTTATTTCAACAGATTTAAGGATTGTCTTAAACCATGTTCAGTGTCGGAGTAGATGATATCCAATAAATTTGGAACTATCGCCAAAATATTTTGAACTTTTTGATTAAGGAAAAATTAAACCACCAAGAACCCAGTTTTAAATATACATAACTATTGATGTTATGAAATATAAGGAATACCACTATATTTATACCCAAAGTAAGAAAGCAGAATTTCCAAGAGTATATTTGTATAAGAAAACATTACTCAGTATGAGAATATGTTGTAAGCTTGAAAAATTACCTGAAATCATGGCCCCATGATGAGATGCAATGTGCCTAACAGTTTTACAAGTGAAGGTAAAATTAATCTCCTTGACGAGTAAAAAACAACGCATCTGTGTGTCAACTTCAAAAGCTTCTTACAGTGACTAGTCATGTTTGTGACCAGGCCATGAACCACATACCTCGTCTATCGCAATAAGATTTAGCAACCCTCTGGAATGAATCTTTGTCAGCCTTGCCATAAACCCTGATGTTGCAATCAGTTCAGGTGTAACATACAGTAACCTCAAAGACGGCTTTCCCGACTCAAGATCTTCATATATCTATATATTCAGAAAATAAGAGAGATATATATCAAGTGGAAACTGTTTATCGTCAGAAGTTATTACCCCGTGATTGCAATTTTCTGAGCATCTCAATTAGAAGTTTTGACCTATGATAAGTGAATTCCAATTGAAAATGTAAAAGGAGAGAAACCAATTAGAACAACCAGTAGTTCAGATTAAGGGCAAAATAATCAACGTGACATGTTCAGCAAACGCAGAAAATTAAGACCCAATATATCTTAGATAAGACTGTTAGACAACTTCTCTCTACATATCATAATTTTCCAATAGGTATATCATAAGACCCAATATATCAGAACTGCAAAAGACGCAATCTGTATCAAGCTCTAATAAGTTGCTACTGCAGAACTGCTGCTCTTCCTTTTCTCTCCTTTGGAGGAGTGGGGATAGTTTAAGTTTTTAATTTTAATGCATTTATTCCTCTTAACCCAGAAATTTTGGGACAATCTCTGCCCTAACTTCAAATATAGGGTCGAAAAGACATCTTAGGTTTGACAACGGGTAGTCTTTTTACTCTACGTGCCACATTCCTGCTTAAGTTTGCTTCAGTTCTAGATAATATATTATTTATCTTAATAGATTTATCTTGCAATTGTTAAATAAAGAATATAAAAATGGATGAAGTTCAGATTCAGGTACTTTATTGTCTTTTTTTTTTTTTCACCTGTTTGACCAAAAGAGTGATTGCAATTACCACAAAGCAAACAACTTAAAGTCCAATTACTACACAACGGCAGCAAAAGTAAATTACTTGCAATCCACGTAATTCAAGGATCGGATGCTTTGGATTCATAAATTTGTTCATGACTCCACAGGCAAAATTAGAAATGTGTGTCAAGCTTAATTCAGATTGAGCCGAACTGGCCATGCATCAGCCATATCTAATTTAAGCTTGAACTTAGGTTTAGTTTAGCCATGTTCATATTTGATTAATGTCCATTCGATACGCTAGCAAACATTGGGCCACTCCAACTCTATTGACAACCTAAGGCCTGTAAATATTTATCATCTTCATGTTTATAGTATCTTCTTTCATCGTAACAAAATTAGCAAAATGTTGTGCATCTTCACTACCACATAGAAAAACTTGTCGTAACAATTCTCCGTTTGGAATATTTCAATTATGAACTTATAAATAGATTTTTACAACATTATCATGCTAGTTCATAACTTCAAAGCTTATCAATATTTTGAAATATTTAACAAATTCTTTTCTTGAAATTCTTCAATGCATTATGGCGAATTGGTTGAACTTAGATGCCAAATTAGGAATAAGAAGCCATATAGCATTTGGAATAACATCTTCTCGTGACTAAGGTCCATCAGACTTCAGTTTACTTAATCCCTTGAAAAAGTTGCCTTCAATCATTCAGAATCCAGGTTCTGTCATCAGTAAACAAAAACCATCAGAATCTTCAATACCTCATTCTTGACTTTAGCAACCTGGGTTGATGAGAGATATTCAGCAGCAATTCCTTTATCTTTCAACGCCATTACTTGATTTTCCTAGACAAAGCAGAAAGCAGCTTTAATTTAAAAAGAACCATATTCAAAGTCCATTAAAGACAGTTCGAGACAATGAGAACAAGACATTTGAAATGACCTTACCATAAGAGCTGAAATCAAACAGAAATCCCAGCAAGAGCAATCAGATTTTGTCCTGGCACACTCACAAGGAAACTGTACTCAAGCGTTCACATTAAAATAAAATCAACAAGAGTTTCATAATTCACCTATCAAAGGACAAACCACGAGCACAATCCCAGGTTTTGCTAGAGCAGGAATCTGATAGCACATCGACTTCCCTCCACCAGTTGGCATTAGACAAAAACAATCTCTACCTGCAATTGTGAATAAACACACACAATTAACCATAACACCAGAATTGCATGAACTTATGACATGGTCGAAACCTGATAAAACAGCGTCAATGGCTTCCAATTGCTTCCCTCGGAAATCAGAATGCCCAAAATGCCATCTCAAAAGCTTTACTAAATGTTCCTTCTTGATCAATTGCTTCTCAGGCCCGCATAAATTTTGCAATGGCAATGGAGACTTTTTCATCTTCCTACTGAACAATCCCGCAAAACTTCACACAATTAAAAAATAAAATAAAATAAATTTGATAACCTAGATTAAATACCAAATAAGTATTCACATTTCAAAGTAAAAAATTGAACTGTAACTTTTCGCTTGTTTTGTTTTAATCCTACCCTTTCACAATTTGGCAAGTTTTGAAGTAATTGGAGCATCAAACCTCTCTTGATCGGAAGAATCCACACGCATCGAAATGGTACCAGTGGCATAAATATGTAAAATTGTCCCTCCTGCGAAGATTATTTCATGTCTCTTAGGAGATTTTGCATTTTTAATAAATTAATAAAAATTGACAAAATATAGGGTTAAAAAGTTAAGATAAATGTGAAATTAAAATTAATTGTTCATCTCGATTTAAATCAAAATTTGAATTTTAGCCCCTATCATTATTTGTGGAAAAAACGTTTTAATGGTTATTTTAGGAGAATTTATAGCTAAAAAGTTGGAAAGTATATTAAATTTATGTGTAGAATATTTTATTATTTGAATATATGTTAAAAATGAGTACGTAAAATAACGACAGTAAAACGTGGACCTAATTTCTCGAAGTTGGTACAATCTTTGTTGATAATTTTTTTTTTTTGAGAAACTTTGATGATAATTATTGTTGACAATCTTAGTATTGTCAAAATTCGGATCATTGATTTTAAAAATAATTTTTGAAATTGATGAATGTGATATTATCAAGTATGAATTGTTAATCAAGATTGACAAATAAAATTGTACAAGTAGCATGATTCTTTCTTTAAATCTTTAAAGTATCTCCAAGAGACGCTCTATTTATAAAAAATAAAAATAAAAAATATTATGCACAATAGATAACATCATTAAATTTAGAGATTAAATTTTTTATGTACTCCAATAATACTTTCTATTTTAACTCTTTATTCTATTTTTTAATGAACATTTATTGAATTTTCCTCATCTTTTATTTAAAATAAATTTTTTATATGTTAATGGCCAATCAATTTAAGCTAATGTTTAGTGAGAATTAAAATCAGATCTTATTAGATTTTGATAGAAATTGATAAAATGTGTAGTTAAAAAGTTGTGGATCCATAAAATATGTGGTAAAAATTAATTGTTGACTTTAAAATTAGATTATAATCAAAATTTTAATCCCTACCAAACATGAGCTAAATGTGATTTGAATAATTTAAATTGTAGAGTATTAAAATTTTGTAATTTATTAAATGTAATCATTGTTATTAAAAACCATGAGTGTGTTTGATTTTTCAAAATACACTCTTTAAAGTATATCCAATAGAATTTTTAAACATAAGATATTTTCTATTTTAATGAGTTAATCTTTAAAATCATGTTCCAAAAGACTCTTTAAATAACATTTTAATTTTGAAAATGAGTGACTCTCAAAATTTAAAAAGTCAAACCCACTCTCTATAATTAAATATATTTAAAATATTTCAATTTTCAATATAGGAAAATAATATAATAATTTTGAAGGAAGTTTGGTGAAAATAAAGATAATAAAAAATAATAAATATTTTTTGAAAATAGTAAAATTACATGTTAAATATAATGAGTTTATTGAAGTATTTTTTAAAAAAAAATACTTTCTAACTTTATAAATGCTATCGAAATTGTATACTATACTCTTCAAAAATAAAAAAATTGTCGGATATGCTCTTATTTTAAAAAGACAAAATAGAGCCTCTTAGGGTTCGTTTGATTGTAATGGTGAAAAATGAGTGGAACTAAAATAAATTCCAGAGAAAGTAAGGGGTCGTTCTCTTTGTATTTCAGTTTTGTGATTTGTGTTTTGAATTTGTTTTGAATTACAACTCACAAATGTAATAGCAAGCAAATAACTAAATTAGCACAAGCAAAGAATCAAAACCTTGATTTGAGGATTGATTCAAACTGCCCGTCGTTTCAGGCTTCGATTCGGTGACACCGGAACAAACAGCCCCAAAATTCAAAGATCCCGTCGAACAATCCTTCGTCCCCGGCCAACGCGATCTTCTTTGACCTCGTTTTTCGGATGGTGGTTTGCAGCTGGAGATGGATTTGCAGAGAGAGGGAGAGTAACGGTGAGAGGGAGAGTGAGAGAGTTGAGTGAGAGGAGATCGAGTTTTGTGTGTTTTCTAATTTTGGTGGGTTTGGGCTTCAATTTTGCAAAACGGCATTTTCATTGTTTTCCATTTTCAGTTATCTTTTTATTTTTTCCATTTTTCAAAACACGTTTTCGAAAATAAGATAGAGAACGCGTTTTCGCTGTTTTGATAAATTAAAAACAGAAAATGGTTGGAAAACGACAAAGAGAACATGGCTTAATTGTCTAGAAATTGTTTTGCAAGGAATTGTTAATTAAGTGTGTTTGATTGATATAATTTTTCACCCGAAAAATTTTAAAATTTTGTATTCGTTTGACTTTGTTTTACATGGAAATTGTCCATTAAAATGATAATTTTTTTCACAATTGATTATAAAATTTGTTTCCATTGCCAAAAAGTTTTAAAAAAACGAAAAAAAATTAATTAAGTGTGTTTAATTAGTATAATTTTTCACCCGAAAAATTTTAAAATTTTGGATCTTTTTGTGTTCGTTTGACTTTGTTTTACATGAAAATTGTCCATTAAAATGATAATTTTTTCCACAATTGATTATAAAATTTATTTCCATTGCCAAAAAGTTTTAAAAAAACGAAAAAAAATCATTTTTTTAATCAAAATTTAGTATTCGTTTGGTTTTATTTTACATAGAAATTGTCCATTAAAGTGAAATTTTTTATTTTACAATTTGTTATGAATTTTGTTCCAATTGCCAAAAAAAAAGCTGGAAGTTCAAATTCCCACAAAAAATGTGGGAAAATCATTTCCACAAAACCAAAGAAAGTGTGCACGTGTGAGGGTGGGAGGGAAAACAATTTCCCTAGAAAAAATGCCCATCAAACATGACAAAATGGTGGAAATGGAAAATGTTTTCCATTTTTCATGGAAAAAGCTTTGTATCAAAACGGGGCCTTAGTGCTTATTTTTATGCACTAACTCTCTGAAATAGAGTACTTTTAAGTTTAAAAATCTTTTGGAGATACTCTTATAGTTAAAAACATGTCATAGTTAGTTTTGATGGTGAATCTAGCAGCACCTAACTGGTGTGCCATCACATGTCACGTTTCGAGTCATCAAGAACTAAGTGAGAATTAGCACCAAGAACTAAGTGAGAATTGGCACACTTGAATTCCCAATAAATAAAAGAACGTAATACAAAAGCGTGCGAAACTTCACTCAATAACTAATTTGTTGAGTGGTGTTTTGTTTGGTTGTTTGGCAGTTTTGGTGTTATTTTTTGTTTTGTGTTGTTGTTTATGTTGTCTTGTTTATTTGTGTTGTATCAGTCTCTTATTTTTGTGTGTTCTCTCTCTCCGGAGAGAGTCTGAAGTTTAGACAATGCCTGTCATTGTGTGTGCGGGGGTGCCGAAGTGCAAATTGCGTTGGTTGACTTATAGTCGGGTTCGCCTGTATTGACAAGTCACAATTGTAACTTCGTTGTAGACTGATTAGCATAGGGTGCACTTTAATCTCTTTTAGGAGGGTTTTGTGCTGGAGGAATTCTCCTCCTTGTATCTGTTTCTTGCTACTTCGTTGATTTATGAATTGCATTTAAAAAAAAAAAAACTAATTTGACTAAAATAAAAAGGAAATGATAAAACACTTTGACCTAGAATATTGGTTGTAACCATAATACCATGACTAACACTGTGCAGCATCACTAGTATTACACAGCCCAATACCCCATCCCTCCACCAAATTAAATCCATATTTTGTCTGGCTAATAAAGTTGATAAATTTTACTCACATTATATGATATCTATAACCTTTATCAAATTTTCAACTACATATTTTATTAATAATTTATCAAAATTTTCTAAACATTTTATATTAAGCAAAACCAAACGGGGGTTAAATTAACTTGGGTTGGTAAATAGTTGAATTGGACCAAATAACGAATTGGATTTTTTTTTCCTAATCCAAACACCGCCTCAATGCATCGTATCAAACACGTTTTGTCAGTTCATAACGTTTTCTAAAACTACTACATCGAACCAAAACAACTTGCTTGTTTGCTCAATTGCCCATATTTTCATTAATGGGTTAATTTCACAAATGGTCACTGCAGTTACAGCAAAATTACAAAATTGTCACTAAAATTCGAAACTTGCATAAATGGTCACTCAACTTTCAGACACTTTCAAAAATGATCACTGAGGTAAGTTTTTGGACTTTTTTGTTCTAATTGAAACATAAATTAACAACACACGGCCCCTTCAAAATTTGAGGACCTGAAGTGCAATTCCCTTTTTATAAAACACCAAACAGGTTTTAAGGAGGAATCATGGTCGATGAAGGTGGTGGAGATGATTGGGCTGCTGATGTATTTGAGCAGTGGAGAAATCGAGGCGGGATATGAGGGATTTTAAGGAGGAATCATGGTTGATGAAAGTGGAAAGGTAGTGAGAGGTGCTGTGGACGTTGGATCGAAATGTCAGGAGGAGGCAAGAGAGGAAGGTGAGGCAGTTGGAGAAGAAGATGGAGGTGCTCTGTTTGAGAATTTCGGCGGTAATGGTGTGGTGAATGATGGGTGATCGCGGCGGCGACTGCGGTTCTGGGTGTTGATCATGGTGGTTCATGGTAAATTTTCTGCCACGAATTGGGGATGATTTAATGAATTGGCGTTTGAGTGTCAAGATGGATCCAGGCTTCATCCTCCCCGCCGACCTCACTTGTCGAACGTGTCAAGATGGATCCAGGCCCGACCAATGAAGACTTGCCTTTTGCGGTATCAGAAGAGGACTAGTTATTGATAATGCGTCATTGCGTCTGTTAACGAATATATACAGGCCTGTTCTCCTGTCCACGGTGGGCAGGAGAACAAATGCCCACCACTGACGTGGCGGTGCCACGTCAGCTATACAATAATTTTTTTTTGCCAACTTTTCGTCCTTT